TATTATAAATTAAAATTTTAACAAAAAATTTGTTTTAACAAAAATTTTATTTAATCAAATATATTTTATTATATTCTATATTATATTATAATTTGTTATATATAATAGTAAATTTTATTAGAAAAATTTATTATATAACTATTTTATCTAATTAAGCAATTTTTAAATTTATTTGTTATATTAAAATATAAAAAAACTTACTATATTAGTTTAATTAAATTTTTTATATTTTTATAAAAATTAATATATTATTATATTTTTTTTATTTTAAATAATTTTATTCTTTAATTATTTTTGTTAAAAGCAATTTTTCTTTGTTTATTTTTTTATTAAAATTATTTTTTCTTTTTATAATTTTTACATATATTTTTTATTTTTTTTATTTAAATAAAATCATTTAATAATTATAATAATTTATATAAATTACTTATTATTTTATAATATATTAATTTATTATTTTTATTAATAAAAATAAAAATAAATTAATAATCTATTAGTTTAATATTATAAACTAAAATACTTCTATATTAACTGTATTTTAAAATTAAAATTAATAATTATATTTTTAATATATATAAAATAAATTTATATTATTAATATTAATATTAACTTTATTTTTAAGATAATATATAATTTTTATTATGATATTTTCTTTAAAATGCTTATAAATGATAAATAAAATAATATAATTAAATAATAAATAAAAGATTGATTTTTATAATTAACTTTAGAAAAATATTAATCAGTAAACAGTTTATTTAATAATAATAATAAATGAGTTTACCTTAGTTAGTATTCTGTACTATACAAATATTTTTAAGAGAATTAAGAATAAACTATCTAAAGAAAATATAAATTAAATATACTGTAAAGGTAAAAAAAAATATCTCCTATTTATATAAAAATAATTACATATAAATATTAATAAGATAAATAAAATAAAAATATTAAATATAATAAATAAAATATATAAAATAAATATATAAATAAAATAATAATATAGAAATAATAAATATAATAAATAAAATAGATGCTTTAAATGACTTAAATGATATTTATAATTTCTTTAAGATTAATATTATCTTTTAGATTCTTTAGAACATTATTATCAATATTTTTTAATTTAATAATATTAAGTAATATCAAAAAATTATATATAAGAATTATACTGATTCTTATTTTAAAAAAGAAATAATAAAAATATTATAAATTTATTATAAATTAGATTATATGTATTCTTAATTTTAATATTATAAAATATGAAAAATAGCTTTAAATTTATTTAAAATATTAATTTTATAATTTATATATTAAAAAAATCATATAATGATATTATTTCAAAATAAAAGAAAATAATTAAAGTTAATAATAAATTAAATATTAAAAAAAGTAACTTTAATTAATAATATATAAATAGTATTTAATAGTTTAACATTATTTAATATTCTTAGTCTTTTATATATTAAAGTTAATATTTTATTAAAATTAAAAATATTTTTATTTAATATTATTTTTATAATAATAAAATTAATATAATAGATAATGTTATAGTAATAATTCTTTATAATTTTAATTTATTATTAATAATTTTAATTTAACAAATAATAATATAACTTTAATAATTATTTGTGATAAATTATTAAAAAACTTAAATTATTCAAATAAATTAGATTTTTTCTTATTATTAATATATCACTTATATTTTAAATTTAATAGTTATTAAAAAAATTTAAATTAATTAATAAATCTATTAAAAAAATATAATCTCTAATATTTATATTAAATCTTTACATCTATAAATAATAGTTTAAAAATATAAATATATTATTTATTTAATATTTGAAATAAATATTAAATAAAATAAATTTCACTTATTATATTAGAAACAAATATGAATACATTATTTATTACTAATAATTAAAGATTTTTAATAATATTTTATTAATTATAATTTAAAATTATTATAATTAAATTATAAATATTAATAATATAATTAATAATTTTATATATTAAATAAAGATATAATAATTTTTTTAAAACTAATTAAAAAATTTAAATAATAAAATTTTTATATATAATAATATATGTAATTAACTAAATATTAATTAAATTTCTCATTATTAGATTTAAAAATAAATATTTATAATTAAAAATAATATTAAATAAATAAAACAAAAGAGTTAATATTAGATTAACTGAATATTCTTTAATTTTGATATTAATTTTAGCTTTAATAATAATATTAATAAATAATATTAAAAATATAAGTAGATATTAGTATTTTTTCTTGCTAATATTTTAAAAAAGATCTTTTAGAAATTAATAAAATATTAGGATAATCTTTTTGCTTATTTCAAAATAAGAAATATGAACTATTTTTAATTGAAATTTTTTAGATATTAAATAACATTTGTAAATAAAAAATTTATATTAAGCTTATTTAGAATTTAATAAAAAAATTTTATAGATATAAGCTTGAATTTTGTAAAAAAATCTAAATTTAATAATTACTAATGACTCTAATAAAAATTTTTAAAAAGATTCACAATAATTTATTGAATAGCAAATACTTACATCATCTGTATAAAATAAAAATTTAGAAAATAGCTTAAATCAATATATTTAGCATCCTTATAATTTTAGATCCACTTTAATATAAGATAAAGACTGATCTTCAAATAAAAGATATTTATCAGTGATTGAAAATTATTTAACTAAGTATAACCAAGAAATTTTAGAAAGGTTACAAAAGAAAAATAAGAGGTAATATGCTAAATGTAAAACTTAGTTCTTAGTATCATAATTCACAAAACTGCTCTTTAAAGAATTAAGTTTGCTCTAACAAAGAGAATATTTCAAGATATAAATACATTATGTTTAGTTTAAGCAATAGCCTAAATTACTACTATAATTTGAGCTCAGTAACTTTTAGTCATCATGTATAGATTGATATTTATTAATATTCTTTTTCTGTCATACTGTATTTCTTTACATTCTATCTATAATAATATTTAAATATGCAATTTTTTATTCTAAAATCATTTTAATGTAAAAAGTCATTTTTGCAACTAATATATAATTGATACAAATAAATTTATTATATAAATTTCTCTATTCTTAATCGATTCTAAACTAAAGAAATTTTTAGATTATTCTAAATAAACTTTAACTGGACTGTTACAATTTATATAAAAGCATGTTTATTAACTTACTTACTGTATCTTTAATATTTAACTGTGAAATTATTTTTGAGTTTAAAATAATAAATAAATATTGTGAATCTACAAATAAAATTATAAAATATAAAGGTTAAAAATAATAGTTTTACTACCACTATCTTTAAAAAACATTCTGATAATAATTAATATTTCTAAACCTGTTTCTTGCATAATCATCATAAAATGCTCTTAATGAAAATTAAAAGTAAATTATCAATTAAACTAATTTTTCATACAGTGTAGAACCTCTATAATAGAAACTTTACTATAATAAAATGAAACAAATTTAAAATGCAAAAAAAGATTTTATTATATATAAAATTGAAAATTTAATTCATAAACTATGATTTGTACTTAAAATCTTGGATAGAATTTCAATATCCTTAATATTGATAAAGTTATATCAGGTTAAATTTATCTAAAATTAATTATAAAATTTGAAATTGAAAAAAATATTTAATGACAAATTTATAAGAATATTTCTTTTATCTTTTATATATTTTAATTTAAATATCATTATAAATTGAATTATATAAAGATATATTAGGGTATAACAAAAGAAATACACAATAATATTGCAATTACACATAGGTTAGATTATAATAAATTATTTCTAAAGCATTAGATTCAGTTCCTTTAATTACAATTCAAAATATGCACAAAATCATAGCAATTTATAAATATTTATAGAAAAGGTATTACTATAAAAATGGCGGAGTTGCAACTAAAAAATATAAGTTTTATCATCATGTATCTGATGCAATTTATAATGAAATAATAAAATAAAATAAATTGTTCCATACGATTTTTAATTCTAATTTATGATTGGTTCATATATGTGTTACACGATTCTTACATAATTTACAAAATTGAAAAAAAAAACTTTTTTTTTATAAATTGATTAAATATAAATCATTTTTTTTTTTATTTGATTAAATCCAATCAGTGGATTAAAGTTTATTAATGTTTTTTTAAGTTCCTATTATAGAGGTTTCGCACTGAAGTTTATTTTCTCCTGATTGGCTACTTGAAATTTAGTTTTTTCATGTTCAAACCTGACGTTTAACATTGTTTTGTATATCAAACTTTTTCTAATAAAGAATTAAGACGAGACATAGTAACGTTAATTCAGAATAAAAGTATACAGATCTTTTTTAGATATTTTGTGCATTACGACGTATCTATCCTCCGAAAATTTTAGTACTTCGTTAAACGAAAGTTAAAAAACCAATACTAAAACGATAAAATTTAAACAATATAATAATTTTCATCCATTTGATAAATCTGATGATGCATAATGTTTGACATAGATAATTAATGTTGATTTTCTGTTGCACAATTTAGTACTGGAAGTTTAAAAAAGTGATTTAATAAGTGAAAGTGAGTGCAACAAATATTTCTTATGAAATATGAATACTACTCTTTATATTGGAGTATTTTTATTTTGATTTGGCTTGAAGCCAAATGATGTGTCCAATTGAAATGACCTCGGCACAAATTAGTTTACACCACCATGTTTTTCTTATTGCGCCGCCTTCATTACCTTTTAAAAATATTTTATAACGGGCGCTCATACTTTTTATTAAGTTTCTGCAATTAATAAGTTAATCGTCGTCATGGAATATTCGATTGCACAAATAAATTATGGTATGTTACACATAAAATGATCGACCCCTCTACGGTATAAGTAGACCCAGAAAGAGCGTTGGTTTTTTGATTACATTTTCTTCTCTTATCAAAAACCGTTAAAATTGAAATTTATGCTCATTAAGATCACACTCTTCAATGCCTACAATTAGAATTATAAGAATTGGTTACTACAAACAAAATGATCAAATATATTTTGGCGATTTGCTTGATTTGTTGATTATCACGATATTCGGCATCTACATTTGTTCACATCTTTATAAAAAATTGAACGTCAAGAATTATAATATACTTTTATTACAATTTCTAAGTGTATCTTTTGGTACATTTGGAATGTTCTTTGAACGCGATAGTACGATCGAAGCTGCCATACAAGGGTCATCAGCCGTCATTTTTTGGTTGCTCAATATGATGGTACTGGAATTTAATAAATCAAATCAAAAAAACACCAATGAAAATGAAATAATTGGCGAAATCTTGACATCTTTTATCAATCTCTTAAACGTGGCTCGTCTGTATGCTGATTCGAAACATGACTTGTTCATGTACATTGAAATCTTTAAAATACTTTTATCTTTAATCAGTATTTTTAATTGGATACCAAAAATATTACTATTAATGACTCCATTAATTCTTGAAGGGTTGATTTTGGTTATTAAATTAGACGGTTACATCATTAAAAGCGTAATAATATTCTCCATCATATTGTCTTTGACGATTTCTCTTGAGACTTTATCATCTCAAGAGTTCACAGTTAAATATCCAGAATCCAGTAACCTTCACGAGTTGATAGCCATTCCGGTTTATCTTTATTTTTTTGGACTCCTTTTTGTCCTTATAATGTATATACTTATAAATTTGATGTATGTAATTTCTCCAATGATTGGAATCGGTGAAAATTTTGGTTGTCTGCTATCTAGTTCAGTTCTGAAATATTAGTAATAGTAAGCTGGTTTGGTCTTCGCATGTGACTTTGAAAATTAGCCAGTTTAACGATTCGGCCAGAAATTTTCCACAAGCAAATTTAATTTATAGATACAATCACACGTAAATTTTAAACTTTTACAATATGTAATATATTACATTAATTACTAGAGATTAGAAATCATGTTATTGAATCAGTTTTATTAGAAACTAATTAAGTTCTTAAAAAATTCATCTCTTCTTTATCTTAATTATTACACCAGATGACAAGACTTTACATCATATTTCGAGTTGTTAATATTATATATAATTTTAAATATTTTTTGATAGTAATAGAAAAGTATAAATAATAACATTTTTGTAAAAAAGTTTTATTTATTACTTGATAAAATTTATCACACCTTTATTCTTCTAAACACTTTTATTAATTTGTTTTAATCAAATTTAATAATCTAATAATAATAACAATAGGATAATAGTATAACTTATCACATCACGCCATTAAAATGGTTAAGGACTTTCTATCAGTTGGCTATAACGATTGATAAAATTTTATAAATTGGACTGCAACATTTTTTTCCTATATTACTATTTACTCAACATACGTGTATCGTTTCATGTGCGAAAAGTAAATAATTTGTGATACGGTCAATTTCATGATCATTGTGTAGAGGTTAATTAACCGGTTATTAACCGGTTAAAGAATTTTTGGCCGGTTCCAACCTTTATCATTTATTTTTTTCTTCAGTCACTATTAATTTTTTTTTACTTGAGCAAAATCTTTACTTTGCCAAGACCGACTTTTTATTTTTTTTTTATCATGACATCATTGTCACTTGAATTATTTGAACGTTTAATTATTGGACTTTGACTTTTATCATATGGTACAACAAGGTACTGTAATGTACAATTAATAAAGTGAAAATATGCATCTACAAACTTTATTTATAATTATTATCATAGGATGCTAATTATATTCTACACAAAACTTAAAAATAAAAACTAATTATTAATTAATAATTGCTTATAATGTAGGTATTAATATAGGTGGCTTATAGATTTTTGCGTGCTTGGTCAAGACGATCTATGCGGTCTTGTTCGGTTGCTATTAGAGAGAAAATATAAAACAATTATTGATTAAATCGAATTTCAAGGTCCAAATAATAATAAAAAAAACTTTAATTGAAGTTCATCAAAAAATACTTACAACAAGTAATAGTAGTACCGCATTTATTTACCAAAGGTGCTACAATACATATCGTTCCACCACCACAAGCTTGAAGTTGGAATTGATTAACAAATTTTCCATCCTTAAGTACAGTAGCGCATTTAGCAAAAACTTGACCAATGCAAGCAGTTTCATTAACTTGACATGGTTGATCGGCTGTAAACGTTGAGAATTTCTCTGTTAAATCTTCGGCATTGTCAGCATTTATTTTTCGAAACTCTGCTTTACCCACTCCTTCGTTACATGCTGTTTTTGGTGGTGGTGGAACGAATGGATCTGATTTACCAGTGGCGCTAAATTTACCACGCGCTACATCAATTCGTCTATTACGATCTTCCAAGTTGGCTATTTCAAAAAAAGCAAATTTTTTATATTTATTATTTTTATGTTTGTTTCTTTATAAGGGTTAAAGGTAACCTGATACTCACTACAAGTGATGGACGTTCCAGGCTTCAATACCAAAGGGAGTACATAACATTTTAAATCACCACCACAAGGTTGTATAGAAAATCTATTAACAAGTTTTCCGTTTTCAAATACTTTATGACATTTAGCAAAATCTCCTTTAATACAGGCATTACTGCCTTCTTCACATTCTGAATCCTTAGTCAAGCTTTCGAATTTTTTTTCTAATTCTTCTGCCAAGTCAGCATTTTGACTTTGGATTTCAGGAGTTTGAGATGAAGAAAGTGTAACAAGAGCTGAAATGGTGATGGCTAAAATTCCGAAGACCTTCATTTTTGTTTTGATTTAATTGTTTTTTTTAATAAATTATTTTTTTCTTTTTAAACGTTAAAATAAAAAAATTTTTTTGATTCCAAGAATAATCCTAAGTTATAATAAAAGTGAACTAGAGAATTTTAGGGAATGGCTAGAACTTTTCACAAAAAAACGACCTTTTTTATAATTAAATTTCCTATAATCTTTTTTTTTTTAAAAAAAAAATTACACGAAAATTTGTTTATAAATACTTTTTTGAGTACAATATTCTTTTAGAACAAAGGCTTTTGCCCATTTTCTTATTAAGGTAATTATTTATATTGCTCTGTTATCATATCATAATAAATCCGTTATTGGTGACTTTTCAATTTCAAATTAACAAGTAGTTTAAAAAAAAAAAAAATCTTTTTATTAATATCGAATGATCACGCCCTTTTTAAAAGATTCGCGAATGAGAAGGAATGATATAAAAATAGCATGATTAGGAAGATGAAATTTTTAAAATAAATGGGCCAATCCAATTAATGCATTCATTTATTCATGCAAGTCAAAAAAAAACCACTTTCTGAAAAGAAGAAATATTGAACATGTTTCATGAAACCGAATCCTACCTTTGTTTGATGATTTATCTTATTCTTGCTGTTTCAATGAACAAAAGTTTATAAGGATTCGAATGCATGCCTATGCAACACTCCCTAAATTTAAAATCTTGTGACATTATTTCTCGATTCCTTTCTTTTGGAGAAATTTTAAAAAAAGATGTTGATTTGTTAACTGATACTTGTGTTTACCATATGAATGAATTAAGTTAATTTTTTCACCTTTTTTTTTAACAAAAAAAAAAAAAAAAATTTATTGGACAAGTACAAAAACAATTATAATCTATCATCTATGAACATTCCTAACATTCTTAGATATACCCGCGAGCAGTGTAACAAAAACAAATAAGTATTATATGTAAATGATATTTATATTTTTGTTATTTTCTCATTTTACTTTTTGAGCTCCTCGTTAAATTGTCAGATATGCATTATGCAATGCAATTATTCATTAATCAAACATTCAAACTTCTACCAAATAAGTTTCTTTACAATTATGAATAAATTATCGTTTACATTTGTTATCTTGATTATTCAGCATAATGTCACTTATTTATTGACAATTTATTATTATACTTAAAAATCTAAATTAACATGATGTTTTAATGCAAAGCATATGACGGTGAATCTCAAAATATGTAAATAAAAATAGTGATAATATGTTGTTTATAAGTTTTCTGGTAAAAAGTACTTTTAAATTTTAAATTTTAGGTAGAAATATTTTTTAATTAGAAAAACTACTTTATATGTATACTCAGCTTCTGGTAACCAAATATAAATCGATGCCATTCTCGGTAACTTTGACTTTTTTTTTTCAATATTAATCTAAATCCAATTCTAATCCACAGTAAATACTTATTCATCTAATAAATAATTCTGTCTATTAATCTGTTAGGGATGGTAACGATCGGTCATGGTTCGGGCAGAGGCCTTTGACCGACCGGTTAATGATAACAGTATTTGGCTTGTTAGAAAGTTTTTTATTTAGCCAAATATTCTAATTTTAATTTTTGCTTTAACAATTCTACCATGGCATTTTTTTAAATTCTTTATATAAAAAATAATTTTTTATGTTTTGATTTTACTTATTCTTTTGTCAATAAGTGTATTCGATGGTGTGGCATTTTCGTGAACTTTAAAAATAAAAAAAAAAATATAGATTTTTTTTACTAATTAAAACATGGCTAAAAAGTGGTTGTCAAAGTCGGTCAAAACAGGTTGATTAACCAGTTAGTCAGAAGCCGATATCGGGTCACGGTCATGACCGGTCATGACCGTGGCCATTAGCATTCCTAATCTATGATTAAACACTGAATATTGTATAATTTTTGATATGCATGTTTTAAATGAGGTTTAATTTCCAAAAGATCAATATTATAATAATTACATTTTGTAATTAATTTAATTTAAAAATAACTTTACTGGTTAGTATTACATTTAACAGAAAGAACCATAATTTAAATTAAAAACTACTATTCAATCCTAAAATATTTTTATTAAATCATAAATTGCATTATAATTATTATTCAACTTTTCTTCTTCAATAAATAATTGTACCTTATATAGAAAATGTTAAAATACACATTTAAACTAATTGCTAATGTATTTTTACAGAATTATTGATAAGAATTAAAAATTTTCTACTTAAATTTCTATAATTAATAAAAATTTTAAAAGTTTGATTATATAACTATTAGTATTATTAAATTATTTATCATATTTTATAGCAGCTAATTTTATTGATCTTTACATATAAAAGTATATCAATTGCTACCTTTTTTATAAATGTCAGTAATTTTATTTTCAATAATACATATTTTTTTATTTTATTTATAAAACATTTACTTTTTTAATTTTTTGATTATATATTTTGATATAACATTTTATATAATTAATTATTATTATCTAATATAATTAGAAAGTTTATAATTTATATAGAGAAATACTAGTATTCTATTTCATAAGTTAAGTGAATTTACTATCAGAATTTTAAAATTTTTAATTTATATAAATAAATTTATTTGCATTAATTATATATGCAAAAATGACTTTTACATAAAATGATTTTGAAAAAAAGAAAATTACATGTTAAATATAACTTTAGATAAATGTAAAGAAATACAATATAATAAAAAAAGGATTATCAATAAATATCAATTTATATATACAGTCTACCCTTAATATAATGAAGTAACTGTTAACTTTAACTTTATTATAGTAAATTAGTGAAAAATTTAAAGAATTTGATTAGCTACTTTATTATAGAGAAGGAAAATTGATATATTTAATTGATCAATCATTATATGATTTATTTTATCAAAATTCGCTATATTAAGGATAGACTGTAATAATAAAAAATTGCTAAGATTAAATTATAATAATAATTTGAGCTATTGTTTAAACTAATTATAATATATTTAAACTCTAAAATATTTTTTTTATCAGAATAAATTGATTCTTTAAAAGCAATTTCATGATACTAAAACTTGTATTTAATATATTATCTCTTATTTTTCTTTTATGACCCTTCTAAGATTTCTTGTTTATACTTAGTTAAATGATTTTTAATCTCTGATAAATATTTTTTATTTGAAGATTAGCCTTTATCTTATATTAAAGTAGATCTAAAATTATAGAAATACTAAATATCTTAATTTAAGCTATTTTCTAAATTTTTATTTTTTACAGATAATGCAAGTATTTACTATTCAATAAATTATTATAAAACTTTTTAAAAATATTATTAAAATTATTAGTAAATGTTAAATTTAAAGCTTTTTTACAAAGCTTAAGCATATTTTCATAAAATGTTTTGTTAAATTCTCAATAAGCTTAATATAAATTACTTATCTATAAATATTATTTAATATTTAAAAGATCTAGTTAAAAATAATTCATGTTTTTTATTTTAAAATAAGTAAATAAATTGTTAAAATACTAGTGAAAAGATATTAACTTTATATTAAATTGTATTTTTTTTAAAATAAATTATTATAGCAAAAAAATATTTACAAGTAAATTTAATATAAATTAAATAGAAATATATATAATAATATGATATATTATTAAATAATATGATAAACTATGAATAATTAATTATAAATTAAAGATATTTTACTTTTCAGATTTTATCTATTATGCTACTAGAACAATTTTCTAAAATCATATTAAGTAATGTCTATAAACTTTATAATTATCTTTTATAAAATTTATATTATATCAATTTGATTTTTAAAATAAAAAACAATAATATCTTAATTATAAATTAATAAACTAAAATAAATTAAAGCAATTACTTATTAAATAATACTTTTATTATCTTGCAATATTACTCAATATAGAAAGCTTTTTAGTATTTATTTTCTTTGTAAAGCTAATGAATTTAATATAAGATATATTTTATAAACATTATTAATAGTTTAAAATAATGTTAGATACATGAAAAAATCTGTTTAGATTTTGATGAATATGAAATATATAATATTGAATAATAATATTAAAATAATGATTAGTTATTGTAACTTTTATTATAAAATCTGCATCTATAAATAGTATTATTAGTTAAAAACTTATAGTAATTTTATATATTTTAAAATTTATTCATAGTATCAAAAGTTATATGAAAAATGCATATTATATGAGCATTAAATATCAAATATACGTCAAAAAATAATATTGAATATTAGATTCTATAATATAATACTAATATATAAAATATCAATAATCATTATTAAAATAAGTTACATATTACTTATATAATATATATATTTCATATAATAATCAATATATATCAATTTAATTATTTATTTATTTAGATCATAAAATTTATTAAATTTATTATAATTACAATAACTGAATATATAATATATAAATTAAATAATATATTTTATATTACACAAATATTTTTTTATATAATTAATAAATTACAAAATATTACATTTTAAAAATTAATACTAAATCTATTTTTATAAAATTAATTCTAATATTAAACAAAAATTATCATTATTTAAATACTATAAAAAAGAATTAATTTATTTTATTATATTATTAATTAAAAATACAATAAAATAAAATATATATTTATTTAATTATCATCATTATCTTTTTCAATATTATTGAGATATTCATCAATAACTTATTAAATTAAATTGAATTTAATAATAAAATAAGATTAAACTAAGTTAATATTATATTTTAATTTCTCATCTTTATTATATTCTTTTAATATTTAATTTATATAAGTGAATATCATTTCTCTATAAAAAGTTATAGTTTATATATTAATATCAAAAGTTATATAGATAATAGTGATTATAAATATATAATTATATACTATATATATTTATTTTCTTTAATACTTTGTTTTTAATTCAATTTATATAAATGTCATTTTTATTAATACTATCTCTATTTGATTTAATAAATTTTTCTTTGCTCACTTCACATTAAGTAAAGTTTTTTATTTTAGAATATTCTTTAATATTACTTTATGAACTGGAATTTTACTAATAAAAACTTTCTTAAAAGTGCTAAAAATTATATTTTTGATATTCTTAATATAATTAGTATACTTCATTTAAAATTTATTATATATTTATATATCTATTTTATTAATCAATATTATAATAATTTTATCTAATAGAATATCAATATATAATAAAACTTATATGTTGTAATACGTTCATTTAAAAACTTT